TGTAAAAACACATGTATATTAGTTTCCTATTGTTGCTATAACAAATTAGCACAGATTTACTGATTTAAAACACAAATTTATTATCTTACAGTTCTGGAGTGTGTGTGTGTGTGTGTGTGTGTGTGTGTGTGCACATGCGCGCATGTGCATCAGTCAAACCAATCACACACTCTTTGGTTCGATCAGAGAGAAGGCTCTATTCCAAGCATGAGCTGAGATTATCTGAAGTTCCACAGATAAGTCTCAAAAGATCAGGGATAGTGTCAGGACAGGGACAGAAGAGCAGGGTTTCAGAGGAGACTCCAACCAGGAGATGCAGTGGGGACAAAAGTGATGGGCGTGGGAAAGAACCTGTCATATTTGCAGAGAAGGGACCATTGGAGATAAGAAGTTATCTAAAAGTTAGGGCTTGATGGTGGGTATACTCAAGCCCTTCCATCACTGATGAGGAAGAAAGGAGTCTGACTGGCACCATTCATAGTTTCTTGCTCTATCTACACAGCAGAACAAGGTAAAAGATCCTCTCCTTGAACCGCATATAAAACGAACACTTTTCTTTTAAGGACCTTAAAGCATAATGCCAATATCCAAGAATCTGTGCAAAACAGAGCCAGGAAAAAATCCTCTGAAGGCATGTGGGGGAAGTATCACAGGAAAAGTTTCTCTCTTGTCAGTCTGGGACTACCATTGCCTGCACCACCACTGCTGCAGTTCAATGGGACCACGAAGCCTCAAGCCTAGAAGGAAGGTGAGGAGCAGTCACCCACCTAACCGGCTGAGAGGAAGCCAGCACAGGCTCTGGTAGAAAGTAGCAGTAAAGTAATAATGGAAACCAGGTCTCCAACCATCTAGGCCCAGCTCTTGTGACGGCACCTCGTCTAAAAGCCAAAAGAAAACGCCCCAGAAATCTAAGAATAATTTTCATAATTGCACAAACATTTCTAAAAGAAAGTATCAATAATCTGAATCAAGTTAACTAACCTCTTTTCCATGCATCAGTAAAGTTAACCCAACTAAAAGGTTTTGATCTGGTAATGAATAACTGGCTTGGGTTACAAAGTTAAGTGAATAATTACATCAAAGATCACAAAATAAACTGTTAGCTGTGCAAGAGGCTCATTAAGAGCTATTTTAATCAGTTCAAAGACTTCTTTCTTGAGCAGAAAAGGGTGAAACCCAGTTTTTGATCCTTCCTTAAAATCAAAATTCAGGCTATGGAAATGGGAATTTGCAAGACGTGAAATTTAGGATGGTGTTAAAATTTTAGCCTCTACATGTATGTGAGGTGAAAGTTGCTCCTACAAATGTTAATAAAATTGTCATAAAATTATTTAAATACTAAGAGTTAAGTGAAAGTACAGTTAAGATTATATCAATATATAACTTAAGTTACAAGAAAATGACAACATATTTTAATGCATAATATAACATGAAAATATTACATATAATACTATAGTATCAGGGGTTAAATATCCATTAAAAATGACATATATCCTTAAGTTAAGGCACCTTTCAGTTTACATTTTTTTCAAAAAAATTTTTATTAAGGGGGGATTCACATAAACATAAAATGAACCATTTTAAAGTGAACAATTCAGTAGCATTTAGCACATTCACAGTGTTGTGCAATCACCATCTTTAAGTAACCCCAAAAGATTTTCATCACCCCAAAAGGAAACTCCATACCCATTATGAAGTTGCTCCCCATTCCTCTCTCCCCCTTGCCCTTGTTACCACCAATCTGCATCTTTCTCTATGGATTTACCTACTTTGGATATTTCACATAAATGGACTCATATAATAATACTACCTTTTATGTTTGGCTTCTTTCACTTAGCACAGTTTCTGAGGATCACCTATGTTGTAGCATATATCAGTGCTTCATTTTTTTTTATGAATAATATTCCATGTATGTATATAACACAGCTTGTGTATCCATTCATTTATTGATGGACATCTGGGCTGTTTCCACCTTTTGGCTACTGAGAATAGTGCTGCTATGAACATTTGTATACAAGTCTTTTTGGAACATCTGTTTTTAATTCTTTGGGGAATATATCTAGGGGTATTTACTGGGTCATGTAATAATTCTATGTTTAACTTGTTGAGGAACCGTCAAACTGTTTTCCACAAGTGGCTGTACCATTTTACATTCTCACTGGCAATGTATGAGGGTTGTAATTTCTTCACATCCCTGCCAACATTTGTTATTTTCCATTTTGTTGATTATGGCCACCTAGTGGGTATGAAGCAGTACCTCATTGTGGTTTTGATTTGCATTTCCCAAATGACTAACAATGAGCATCTTTTCATGTGTTTATTGGCCATAAATCTTCTTTGGGGAAATGTCTATTTGAGTCCTTTGCCTGTTTTTTTTTTTTTTTTTTTAATTGGGTTGTTTGATGAGAACCTACTGTATAGCACAGGGAACTCTACTCAGAGCTCTGTGGTGACCTAAATGAGAAGGAAATCCAAAAAGGAGGGGATATATGTATACGTATAGCTGATTCACTTTGTTATACAGCAGAAACTAACACAACATTGTAAAGCAACTATACTCCAATTAAAAAAAAAAAAAAGATGCTTTTACTTAAAAATAAATAAATTGGGTTGTTTGTTTGCTGTTGAGTTGTAGGAGTTCTTTATATTCTGAATATTAGACTCTTACCAGATACACAATTTGCAAATATTTTCCCATTTGTGGGTTGTTTTTTCACTCTCTTGACAGTGTTCTTTGATACACAAAAATTTTTAATTTTGATAAAGTCCAATTTCTTCTTTTGTTGCTCACGCTTTTGGTGTCATTTCTAAGAATTCAAAGTCATGAAGCTTCCCCCTTTGTTTTCTTCTAAGAGTTTTATGGTTTTAACTCTTATATTTAGGTCATCGATCAATTTTGAGCTAACCTTTTACATGATGTGAGGTAGGAGTCCAACATCATTCTTTTGCATGTGGGTATCCAGTTGTCCCAGCACCATTTGTTGAAGAGACTGTTCTTTCCCCACTGAATAATCTTAGCACCCTTTTTGAAAATCAACTGGCCACAGATGTATGGGTTTATTTCTAGACTCTTAGTCTTTAAAATTCTTTAAAAATTCAGAACTTTCCATCCTATAATTCTACCACTGCTTTTACCAGAGGTTTAGCTTATAACTGTGTATTTGGGAACTTTCATATCAAAACTAGAATTTTTTTAATGAAAAATATACACCCATAATGAGTAATTTCATTATTAAACATTTCTTTAAAAAACAAAGATGGGAAGTAGTATATGAAAATTGGAAATCAAAACTAATCTATGAAAAACAATATTTTTTAAAGTAGCATGTAATTTTGTCATTTACCATGCTGTAATGAAGTCATTAATTTTAACTGCATAACCCTTGTAAAGCTCTCCATTATACAATTAATTATGACTTTCTAGTCAAGCTCTTAATGTGGTTATTACATTAAATGTCCTTGATATCAGTCTTGCTTAATTCCCTATGTCAAATTACCATCCAGTTCCAAATAAGAGATGGGTTATAAATCAAAAGAATATTTTACTGTCCAGAACTTTTTATTAACATCAAAGTACCCTAAAATGAACCATCCATTTCTTTCACTTTAAAACTTTCCTGGCACACTGGATTTAAGTACCAATATAGCATGTTATCAATTGGAAGTTAAGATCACCGCTATTTTAGATGCAAGCCAGGCATTCCTTCCCAACAGACCCTTCCCCCTCATTAGCTTTTCTGGGAATCTCTGAACTACCATCTCCTCTCAGCTTCCAGGGTCTCTAACTACCTAAGCCGAAGAAAACAACTAACTTCCCTGATCACATATCTCTACAACAGAGGATCAATTACTAACCACTGATGCAGATTCTCTAAACTCAACATCTCTAATAAAAATATAAACTCTCCTACCAGACCATCCAAGAGTTCTCTTTTATCTTGAATCCCCTTTATGTACAAGCTGTAATCATTGGGTGTTTAGCTTTACCACAGTTCCTTTTAGATGCAAAGACAATCTTGTTTTTACTAACCAAAAAAAGAAGAAAAGATTTTGCCAAGAAACTAAGGGATAAAAAGCTTGGGAAGTGCTGATAACTGTAGTCTAGAAAACATGTGAAAAACTTTACCTTTAGCTGGCCAGTGATGTCGCGGCAGCTGACTGTCTTACCAAGCAAGAGACTAAGGTTCAGGGTCAGACCAACGGTTCTGACGTTCTGGGCTGGACACATAGTTGAAGTGTGACACCAAGGAAGAGACGGCCAGCCCAACCCCTCATACGGCATCCCTTCCTGGTTAATCCATGGGGTGATAATGACACTGACTGGCCTCATCCTGCCAATGAAGGGCAAGGCACTGCAATGACGGCGCCTAGAAATGAATAGGAGTGATTGGGAATAAAAGGGGGAGGGGGGAAAGGTGGCCAGGATGAAGAAATGAATAAAACTCCAAATTTCTGTTACAACTCACTGTCATACCTATTACTCTAATATCATAATGACAGGGGGAATGGAAAAGAAAAAAAAGAGAAAAGAAACAAAGAAAAAAGAAAAATTGCAACCTATTTAAATTTACGCAGCATTCTAAGAATTTGAGCTTGTATCCTACAATCTGACTACATGTAACTAAAGCAAGAGGTTGATTCAATTTAGCTTATAAACCTATAGCAAAGAAAGGGGTATTTTTTTTTTTTTTTTTTTTTTCAGTACGCGGGCCTCTCACTGCTGTGGCCTCTCCCGTTGCGGAGCACAGGCTCCGGACGCGCAGGCTCAGCGGCCATGGCTCACGGGCCCAGCCGCTCCGCGGCACGTGGGATCTTCCCGGACCGGGGCATGAACCCGCGTCCCCTGCATCGGCAGGCGGGCTCTCAACCACTGCGCCACCAGGGAAGCCCAGAAAGGGGTATTTTTATCATCAGTGTTTCTAAATTCTGACGACTTAGATCTATTAAGTTTTTATTACAACAAAAACTCAATCTACACTACTGAAACAGACCATACTTACCAGACAATTCCTTGGGCTCCAGAGCCAATTGGTTTCAACTGCTGGTAACGTTTTAGGACAGTGAAAGTTGAGTCTGCCACTTGTACACTGTAAAACTGACTATCACATTTACTGTCACTCATGATGTAGTGTCATATAATATTCCGAAGAGCTGGTACAGTCGTCGGATTCCTTGAAAGAGAAACAGAATGAACATGCATTCTTACTGAAATTATACATGCATAGCTCACTTAATAGTGTTTCAAATTCATTGGTATATAAGACAATGTGGCTGTAAGTTGGTAAACTCAGTTAGACCAAGTTCTGAACTTAAGCAACATGCAAAAAATGCAAAGAGATTTTAATGGTACAAGATTATCATGAAAGTAAGGAATTCTGAGACCCTGCATGACCACATCTTAAGGGATTGGATTAGGAAATAATAACCTTTGGAGAAAAGAATTTTTACATTTTTATTAGCCATGACAAGACTACATCACTATGTGATTCTCATCAGCTTGCTTCCTGTGGGACCAGATTACACCGTGCTGTCTCAACCAGATACGGAGGCACTCTGGAGATGCTGCAAAATGAACGTCTACAATTCTTTCATGCAGAAAAACAAATGGACCAGTCTTCTGCTGTGTCCACAAATTCAGGTTAAAGTGACGAACTAGAAAGCAAGTCCGATGCCAAAGTGATTGTAAAAGTGGTAAGTTAAAGAACAACAGGGTGCTGGAGGCCTGGTGACACCTGTGTGTGCTGTGGATGCTCGTGAGTGTGCTCCTACCTTGTGAGGTGGTCCCGGAGCCAGCCTACATTCCCCAAACCCTATATCCCTAGTGGACTTCAATACAGACAGCCATAGACAGAGAACTCTGTCATAAGCTACAGTCAATAACATGGACACTATGTTATCCACGAGGCATGAGTATAAACTGGCAGCCCAGAGCAGCCTTTTTGTGGTTTAGACAGTAGGCTGAGATTCCTACGCTGCAGGAGCCTGTATGATTTTATACAGAAAACAAAGCAAACAGAAATCGGCAGGCAGCTACCTTTACTCCCTTCCCTGGCTCTTGTCTGATAATGTTTATTCAAAAGTTAGCAAGCTATTTATATTGGTCATTTCTTAAAAATTAAAAAGCCAACAATAAAATCATTTAGGTAAATATTCTACACTGTTTACAAACACAGAATTTAAATTTTATTCTACAGCTTCCCCAAATTCCTGCTTGTTTGTTCTAACACCTAATATTTAATATCTACCCACTGAGTTTTTTGGAGTGATGATATGTGTTTCAACACAATGATGTCTAGGACTTCCATTAAACATGGAAATTGACAATAACAAGACTGAACAAAGAATTTAAATCAAATGAATAGTTTCTTCAACTGACTGTTGCTTCATGTTTTACCATTCTCAGGGCATTGGCTGAGGCACAGCTGGTAGTACCAGCAGCCATTTTGACCAAGAGCCATTGCACACTGGCTGGGGATTGCGTCTGGGAGGCCAGCGTTGCGCTAGATAAACTAACACACTGCTCACAACGGCCGACAGGAATTATCAGCCCTGTGTTACACTGGAGTGACCCAAGGCTTAGTGAGCTGGCCAAGCCATGCTGCTGTGAGAAGGGGGCCCTAAGCTCTAGGAGGGGAGGGACAGGTCTGTCTTGTTCACGGTGGCACCCTGTACTCCCAGGACAGGAGGACAGGGAGGGTCCCTGGGACAAAGTGACCGTTCAATATACCTCTGCTGATCTGACCCATAACACTGTAGCTAATGATTCCCTCACGATGCTGCTCTATTTTACTGACATCTGAAGGAGTATCTTTTCTTAATTTATTTATAGTTTTTAAGAGGCTGAGACAATTCATCTCAACATTTACGGGGTACCTTTGTACAAAAAAGTGATAAATAATATAGAAGACATATATCAAGATCAAACAGGTATTGGTCTTGAAGCAGCACCTACTTCACTACTTGGGGGAGAAGTGTGAGGAATGAGTCTATTATCTACATTGTAATCTAAGTTATAAAGAGGTAAGGGCCATAAGCAAAATAGAAACAAAGCTGAAAGGTAAAAGAGGTCCTACCCACAAGCAGGGGTGCAGAAAACAAGAAGAGCTCCATGGAGGAGGTGGCATTTGCCTTGGATAGTTTTGCCAGAGATAGAGTAGAAGCACAGAACTCAAACTGACTGTGCTCAGACATGGTGAATTGCTCAGCTTGACTAGTGGAGTAAAAATGCAAAGGATCAGAGACAGACTCAGTGAGAAGGCAGGAGCCACTACAACCTGCTATTTCTTGGCCATATTGTAATGCACCAGCAATGCTGGTCATTCATAAAGCATTTCTTGAGCACCACTGTGAACCAGGTCCTTTGCCAGAACCTGCCTTCTGCGTTTCAAGCTTACAGAGAGCGTACACTGCAGGTACACTCAGAAGAGATCAGATGCAAGGAGAGCCCTAAACTCAGAAGGATGGAGGTTTAGGGTGAGGAGATAAGAAGTAGCATGTGCAGAGAGCTGGAGGTGCCTTCTAATCATGACAAATCACTTGAGATTTGATTCTGCTGGGTCATGGGGGGAAAAAACTGGAGAGAAAACAAGGCCAGATCACCCCAGGCCGTGGAAGCCGCTCGGAGCCATCTGGGCCTGGGCCTGAGGGCTGTGGAGCCATCAAAGCACAAGAGGCATGGGCTCACACTTGCTTTTCAGAGAGGTCATTCGGGAAGCTGAGAAAGGGTTGGATTCGAATGGGTAGGACTCAAAACAGGCAGACCTGACAAAAATGGCAGGATCGTGGCAGGTGGGGAAAAGAAGGAAATGCACGGCTTGGAGGAAGAATGTACGTGACTTGTTGCCCTGCAGGAGATGGGAAGAAACAAAGGTGAAACAGCTGGAGGTAAGCAGGAGATAGCTGAGTCAGAAAGTTCGGCTTTGAACAAGTTAAGTCTGAAGTGGCCAAGGGACAGTATGACAGGGCTAGGCTGCTGAACTACTCCAGGATCCACTCCTCCCTTCATTTTAGTAACAGAAGCCACCCTGTTGCAGCTGGACAAATGGCTACCCAACTAGAGATGACATCTGGTCACTTTCCTGGCAGCCAAGTGTGGCCAGATGACCAACCTTTAGCTAATGAGATGTGAGCAGAAGTGATGTATGCTACTCCCAGATCATTTTTTTAAATAGAAAGCTGCTTGCCTTTCAATCTATCTTTCTCCCTTGCTGTTGGCCGAGGGATCAGCAGTCATAGACCCAGAGATGGAAGTCACATGCTGAAGATGCTAGAGTCACCCACCAGCCTGAGTCTGGAATGACCTTGTGGCACTGAGGTGGCCCCCATTCTGGTCCACCTGCCCACATTGAGATTGGCACAAATTAATCTCAACCTTGTTGAACAACTCTGGAACTCTCTCTGCTACAGCTGTTGTAACCTGTACTCAGACTGGTACAGTATTAGGTTAGCTTTTGTGAATTTGGGGAGTATATTACATTATTAGGTCAATAATTAACATAATTTCATCTCAAGATTTTAAGTAATTTTAAAATTAAAATAAGTTTCCCTTATTAGGCAGAAAAAAAAAAATCACCTAAGACAGAATCTGTCAAAGCCACCTCCTCTGTCAATCTTGGGCTTCATGAGAGCAAGAGAAAGAACCCCAAACCAAACTAAGAAAGCATGTAATTTAGCTATTAATGAAATCAACTCTCTCTTGAGATTGTATTTCAACAAAATGGACCCAACCTGGTTTCAGAAGACAATTTACAAATTGAGAGGTGTTAAGAATTCTTCATGCAACCACATTACCAACACATTAAGAATTCTTCATGCAACCACATTACCAACACACTGAAGGTGCAGTCCCTGCCTTAACTTCCCTCACCAGAAGATGCTGGTTCCTCACCTCGGTTCCCAGCAGTGGGACCCAGTGCCTACCGTGTTCACTGTCACTCGGCAACTACAATTCTATAAATGTATCTGACAAATACATGTGTACAAATATTCAAAGATATTTGTGCAAGGATGTTTGTAGCACTGCTTGTAACAGGCAAAAAACTAGAAATAACCTAAAAAGTACCCTTGGAATGACTGAACAAATTATGGCACAAAAGTATAATAAAGCCATTAAAAACAATGCAGGGACTTTATACATTGATATGGAAAGATGTCTAAGATATATAAGGAAATAAAGCAAGTTAGAGAAGAGTGCATACAGTAAATTCCAATGTATGGAAAAATACACAAACGCACACACACACAAGTGCTAGCAAGTGCAGAGAAACAGTGGGAAATGAGACTTTCATTCTTGCCACTATAACTTTCTGTTTTTTTTTTAAACTATGCACATATTTCACATTTTAAAAACTAAACAAACACTTTTAAATTAAAAGCTGCAAAATGGTCACTCTGACACCTTTACAGAGAATGGATTTGAGGCAGATGAGACTGGAGGCAGGAAGGCAAGTGGGCCAGGCTCTGAGTACACAGTTATACACCTTCTCCTAACAGGCTGTGAGGTGCGTGGTACTGTCCTCACTCTGCAAGTAAGGAAACAACTCGGAGACAGTAAGGAACTTGCCCAAATTCTCAGCTGGAAAGTGGCATGGCCTGGATTTGAATTGAGGTGTATTTGACTACTATATCCATGTTTTTCCCAATATACTACTGTAATAGCTCTAATTTTACTTAGAAAGTAAAGTGACTGTCCAAGGGCTGGTCAAGACCAGGCCAGAATAACGCAGACCTTCACATCTCATCTTGTTGTTTTCACCCCACTAAGACACTTTCTTCTTCTGATGAAGATAATTCAGTGATCCATAGACTCAAACCTTTAATCACACTAATGTTTCAGAATACCCAGGACATTCAATATTTAAATTAACTGACTGCTGTGATTAAAAGCAGATTTTCACAATCACCCTCTTTGTTTCAATGCTTGCTGCTGAAAGTTTTAACCGAATTGTTCTTTTTTCCTACTTTAATTCATATTAAAAATAGCATAGCACAACAACTTAACCTTTCTTGGATAATCAAAATCTTCACAGCACCTCACAGCCATTCTTCTGAACATCAGTTCTTAAGTTACAGTACATACTATGATACAGAATTGGTTATTATGTCACTCACAGGGACGTGAGTGACTCCAGCAAGGATTCTTCCTGCCGGTC